AGCTAACGCTTTTTTTCAATTAGAAAAGAACTTTGTTCCTGTTGCCACCCAATTTAACCGGCAATTCTGAGGACAAAAATGTGCGTAGGAAACCACCAAGATAAGGTTTTAAATTAGGTGATGTGTTAGCCTCTGTTTTATATGAATTTTTCAAGTTTCCTGGTTCAATTCAAATCTCTAAATTTCCATCTATTTTTTCTAAAACAACCTTCACTTTTTATAGGGGGCAAGAACTCAAACAACTATCACTTTCTAGGCTCTGTCTCTTGACTATCGAAGGTATGCCTACAGTAATGAAGAGCAGTCGGTGATTTGCTCTATACTTTAGACTAGCGACCCTACGGGTCGCTAGCAAGTGGGTCAGAGCAGATACAATATAAGCGCTTAGCTGTGACTAAAAATATTTCTGAATAAGTTTTCTGTTCTTTTCCTGAGAACATTTTTGCGAAGAGGATTCTACAAAAGGAAAACTGCTCGAAGAAGCGATAATTTCCACAAATCATTCAGCATTTCTCGAAATTCCTGCCAGAACCATGCATGATATTATTCTATCTCGTTTACACGCTCTTTATGCAACTCCCCTCCTCACGGAGACATTCAGATACCCCTCCCCCCACTTTTCTACCCTCTCAAGAAATTTGCTCTTTCAGTTCTTCTCAACAAGTTCCATAAAAGATCGTTAAGTAAGTAGCAGAATATCTATCGTTTTGGAAGTAGAAATACACCATAAGAATTAGTGTACTACAAAAAACACTTTTTCATAGAATCAATTCCGACAGCAACGAAATCAATCGTCTAAGAACTTTGTTAAAGAATCCTTATTTTTTCGCTGAAGGAATATGAAGCTTTACTACAAAAGGGAGCCACGCAAAGACCGTCAATCATAAGAACTGCACAAACATGTAAAAAATCTTTCCCTGTCCGATCAAATTGCCCTACGTGCCGTTTACAAACCAATTATCTATCTGAAAAAAAGTTCATGCTCTACGTGCCGCTTGAAGACCGTTCAAAAATTACAAGAACTGCCTCAAACATGAAAAAATCTGTTTCCCTGCCCGATCGGGTTGCCCTACGTGCCGCTTACAAACCAATATTATCTATCTAAAAGACAGTTCATGCCCTACGTCTCGCTTGAAGACGGTTAGAAAATTATAAGAACTGCCCCAAACATATAAAAGTCTGTTTTCCTGCCCGATCGGGTTGCCCTACGTGCCGCTTACAGACCGATAGTAACTATTCAAAAATAACGTTTATTCCCTACGTGCCGCTTGATAACCGTTCAAAAATTACAAGAACTGCCCCAAACATACAAAAATCCGTCTCCCTGCCCGATCGGGTTGCCCTACGTGCCGCTTACAAACCAATATTATCTATCTAAAAGACAGTTTATGCCCTACGTGCCCCTTGAAGACCGTTTAAAAATTATATGAACTGCCCCAAACATATAAAAATCTGTTTCCCTGCCCGATCGGGTTGCCCTACGTGCCGCTTACAGACCGATAGTAACTATTCAGAAATAAAGTTTATTCCCTACGTGCCGCTTGATAACCGTTCAAAAATTACAAGAACTGCCCCAAACATAAAAAAACCTGTTTCCCTGCCCGATCGGGTTGCCCTACGTGCCGCTTACAAACCAATATTATCTATCTAAAAGACAGTTCATGCCCTACGTGCCGCTGGAAGACCGTTTAAAAATTATATGAACTGCCCCAAACATATAAAAATCTGTTTCCCTGCCCAATCGGGTTGCCCTAAGTGCCGCTTACAAACCGATAGTAACTATTCAAAAAGAAAGTTTATTTCCTACGTGCCGCTTAAAGACCGTTTAAAAATTATAAGAACTGCCCCAAACATACAAAAATCCGTCTCCCTGCCCGATCGGGTTGCCCTACGTGCCGCTTACAAACCAATATTATCTATCTAAAAGACAGTTCATGCCCTACGTGCCGCTGGAAGACCGTTTAAAAATTATATGAACTGCCCCAAACATGTAAAAATCTGTTTCTCTGCCCAATCGGGTTGCCCTAAGTGCCGCTTACAAACCGGTAATAACTATTCAAAAAGAAAGTTTATTTCCTACGTGCCGCTTAAAGACCGTTTAAAAATTATAAGAACTGCCCCAAACATACAAAAATCCGTCTCCCTGCCCGATCGGGTTGCCCTACGTGCCGCTTACAAACCGATAGTAACTATTCAAAAATAAAGTTTATTCCCTACGTGCCGCTTGAAGACCGTTCAAAAATTACAAGAACTGCCCCAAACATTAAAAAAATCTGTTTCCCTGCCCGATCGGGTTGCCCTACGTGCCGCTTTTAAATCAATATTATCTATCTAAAAGACAGTTCATGCCCTACGTGCCGCTGGAAGACCGTTTAAAAATTATATGAACTGCCCCAAACATGTAAAAATCTGTTTCCCTGCCCAATCGGGTTGCCCTAAGTGCCGCTTACAAACCGATAGTAACTATTCAAAAAGAAAGTTTATTTCCTACGTGCCGCTTAAAGACCGTTTAAAAATTATAAGAACTGCCCCAAACATACAAAAATCCGTCTCCCTGCCCGATCGGGTTGCCCTACGTGCCGCTTACAAACCGATAGTAACTATTCAAAAATAAAGTTTATTCCCTACGTGCCGCTTGAAGACCGTTCAAAAATTATAAGAACAGTCCCAACATGCAAAAATCTGTTTCTCTGCCCGATCGGGTTTCAACAGACTTTTGTATACCAAAACGGTGACAAGTATTCCTCTCTTGCACAGCAAACCTGCAGAAAATACAGTGCCTAGATATCACTGATCTCAGATCTCAGTAAAATAAAAACAAATTTCCTCACTCATCTTTCGTTTGTTTTGTTAGTCCTTTCAGACGTTCCGTTATATCTGCTCATTTGTATCTGCTATTTGTACCTACATGCGGATGTCATATTTGGAGTAAAATCTCTCTCACTGAGTGTTTTCAAGATACTAAACAGCTCACACAGAAGAGTCGAATTTGTAATGAACTCAGTTTTAGCTCCGATGTTACCGGGAGTACGCTTGGCAAATTTCTACCTCGAAAATCCTCTCTCCATAGAAACAAAATTTTCGGCGATAACAATCGTATTAGAAGCAAATATCAAAGAACATAGAAGCACAAGAAATGATGATCCAATTGCGAAAGCACTTCCGGTCAGATTAGATTCCCCTCTCCATAGAAACTAAATCTTCGGCGATGACAATCTCTTATTAAGAGCAATCAAAGAATATATTCGCGAATGAGAAGAATTCTCAGAACAACAGTTATTGGAAGAAATTCTAGAATGAACGTGGAAATTAGAGCAGTTCCTAGGATGGTCAAAACTGCAGACGTGAAAAATAATGACGATATCGATCGAAAACACGCCCGAAACATGCCTTTATGCATGTGTGTTGTTTCAGTTGCCATACTTACGAAATTTGGCACCGTTCCAAAGGCTTACGAAAATCTGGCATCGTGCCATTTGACTGACTTCAACTCACCGCTAATGGCAGCAATCCAATTCCAAAGATCAGTGTATTTCATCATAATTTTTACATCTGCGCCCTCCTCGTTTGCCATAATCCAACTATCAGCGGCTTAATGGGTAAACAACGAATTCGTTATATATTACGTAGTGATTTAACAAGGGAACCGTGTCGAGTCGAAGTGGCCTTTCCAGATGAGACCCATACTGCTTTGAAGCGTATTAAGCGACGATTCCAAATCTGCCTTCCAAATCTGCCAAGCGCCTCTGGACGCCGAGTTATGACCGTTCTTCGGAACGAAAAATGAATGCAGAATTTAGGTAGAATTGATTTTTACAATCTTTCCAGCTCTCAGATAAAGCAACGTTAAGTATTAGCATATCAAATAAAATGTATCCATTGCATAAACAGCTCTGATACTTGACACTGGACCATTTGAGCAAATTTGGGCGATTCTGCTTCAGTTTTGCGTTCAGTTTTTTGACCTGAAAAGCGAGCATAACTCGGCGTCCAGAGGCGCTTGGCAGATTTGGAAAGCAGATTTGGAATCACCAATTAATGCTCTTCAAAGCAGTATGGGTCCCATCTGGAAAGGCCATTTCGACTCGACACGGTTTCCTTGTAAGTTGAACCTCGCTCTACAAAATGGTACTTAAAGCTTCCCGAAACACTTCATTACAAGAGCGTTATTTACAATCAAACAGTGAGTACATTTTTTGGGACACCCTTTATATTAAGACCAGTGCATCACCTCTGCTTCGCAGAGGTTCGCACTGGCTCTACTATCCGTGCCTTCTTCGTGATCACATAGTAATGACTTTGAAACTCACCGCGCGATGCTGAACATCACAAATGAATTGTAAACAACCATTCATTTTTAGAGCTTTTCCATGTAAGATTGGTAATTTTGGGAGAAAAAATTTTCCCGCAGAAAAACAAATGCGATTTTGAATGGGTTACTGAATTTATTTTGGCTTTATATTTGCCATAAGGATAAAGACCACCTTGGGCTACATATCTATTCAAAAATCCTCTCAATTTTCATAGTAAAAACTTGGCAAATCGACAATTTGTTCAGTTACATCTTTTTGGCGCCAATTTTGTGTAATAATAGACTTTTTGCTTACTTTTTGAGCTGAAGTCAATGTTTTTAGAATTTACTTGCTGAATAAATCCAAGACTTTGCAAAAGGTCCAATTATCGACCCATTTTGGCGGGCCAAAAGTAGCGTGGATCCGTTTGACGCACAGTTTTCGATGGTTCCACTTACTGGATCGGCTTGTGATTTTGCACAGTTTACCTACGCGGTGACAGGATGCTATGACCAAAATTCTAGATCAAGAGGCTGGCTGCAACTCACTCTGTGAATTTCGTGACAGACAGATATACACACACACAGACAAACAGACAGACGCTTAGCGCTTTATTATAAGTCATGATCTTAGAGATCGAAGTTGAGTTGCAAACACCTCTAAAGTCTGTTAGAATTCATTTAGCATTTGTATTCAATTGAAGTTAAGGACAGGAAATGTAAGAACGTGTCCGCGCGAGAGCAACTTCGACACATTGGCCACTTCGTCCGAGCACTGGATTCATCGTTGTACTCATCCGATATAAATGAGCTCTTCATATACTGTGACTACTTTGATGAAGAGTTCAAGTCGCAAGTGATGGAAACCAAGGTTCATCTGGTATGGGTCCGCACGGCCTCCATTTATTGAGACAACAAATAGTCCTAGTTCAGCACGAGGAGATTCAACAAATCAATCAGCTTATCGACGAACTGCATGAAAATATAATGGAGGAGCGGAAGCGGGTCGGCACATTGCTGAGGGAAATCTCCGAACTGAAAGCATCACGAAGTATGCACTATTTCTCCAAATATTTCTTCAAATTTATTCAAAAGTCATGGAATGTGCATGATACTAACATGCGTGATCTGAGTTCAGCCCATCCAGGTTGAAGACGGCATTAAAGGCAGTGGCTCGGGAAATTTGCGACTGCGGGCTTTCAACGACTACATGGCCTTCTGGACCAGCTGAGTCCGGTACTGCGCTTGGAAAGTCAAAAAAGTGCTTTTCTGGCGTTTCCGGGCCTTGGAGATTGCTAGGGAGGCGGGGCGAGGAATTCACCACAAAATGAGCAGCTGGCTGCTGGAGACTGTAACTCCACCTATTTTGGCTGCAATTGGCTGATCAGCTCAGGCAGCCATCGCGATACAGTTTGCCGCCAAAATAGTGGAGTTACAGTCTCCAGCAGCCAGTTGCTCGTTTTGGGGTGAATCCTTCGCCCCGCCTCCCCAGCAATCTCCAAGACCTGGAAACCCAAAAAAGCACTTTTTTGACCTTTCAAGCGCGGTACCGAACCAGCTGGCCCAGAAAGCAATGCAGTGAATAGCCCGCAGTCGCAATTTCTCCGAGCCACTGCCTTTAAGTTTTTCTTAAAAATGTAAATTTGAAGAGAATATGTGGGGGGGGGGGGGGGTGTATTCTTCTGTATAGCAGTGTAGACCCGAGGAATTTTGCGGGGGAATGGGGAAGTTGTTAGTAGAAGGGAAACGGAATTTTGCAAACAATTTTTTAGGATACCTCCCGAAATTAGCGAGCGAATAGCGAAGTTTTTTCAAGCTAATTTAAATCTTCAAAAAAATTGTTTCAATCATTTACAAGTGAAAAAGGCACTTGCGCTGTTTTCTATTTCATGTAGGTTACTTTCACGTGGTCACTCCATGAATATGCGATATCATTGCGGGAACGGACACTATCATCATTGTCGTTTTTATCCAAGCAAGATTGATAAGCCTTCCAGAAAATTCTAAGGACACGATGGATCTCCTGGTTCAAGTTTGTACTTCTATTCAAAAAAAAAAATTCCCAAAATTTTTTGCGGCTCCATAACACCAAACTTTTGTTACTTTGGGACTTCGAAAAATTTTTTTGCAAGGCTACTATGAATTTTGAAAAATTTCCAAAATTAGTCAGTTATCTACAAGTGTGAACATATTATTATACTTGCACATTTGTATCCTTGTGCAATGTAGAAAATAAGGGTCAATGTGTGCTTTAGGGCAACATCGTACACGAACACGAAATCAAGTTCCTGTATACGCCTGTAAAGGTAAGTAGTTAACCTTCTTTTTCATACCGTACTTATAGAGCTCAGAAGATTAGAAAAAAAAACAATGATTTGGTAGTGGGTGAGCAGCTTGCCATGGAAAATAGTAGTCCAGTCATGCACGTCACATCCAGTGTTACTTGAAATATGGTTGGCGGATGATTTCTGTTACACTTTTATTTTTTTGAAAACCTAGGAAACTTTCGAAACTTCTTATGTTTAAGGAGTGTCGGCAGGGGTGCAAAGGCCTACCCGCCGGTAGTGTCAGATCCGCGGTCCGTGCGCAAAACACCCACTTTATCGGTGGGAGTAATTTTATGGACATTTTTGTCAGCGGGTTGGCATTCTTCCAGGTGACTGGGAAAAGACCGGGCATGTGGTATTCGGGCAGGATATGGTCCATAGTTTTTAGCGAACATAGGGGATGGCACAGTCATGTCTGCACACGCTCACATGAGCTACATGTTGCGCCATATCAGCGCACATTGGCATGACATGAAGAACAATCTTTGAAAATTTACAAAAATTATTTTAAACCTTCCCGTACCAAATCCTACGCGATGCAACAAAAAGAAAATTTTCCGACGAATTTTTTTCTGAGTTGTTCTTCACCCCTTGTTCTTGGAGTGCTAGCGGTACCAAAGTGCTACCATTAAAGAGACGATACGAAAATATGTTCTAAAAAAATCATGGGAGAGAAAAAAAACTCAATTAGACGTAGAGAAAAAAGCAAAGAAAAAATGACAATTTTGAGTGTGCTTATAAAGTTGTCGTAAAGTTGCTGGCTGATTGTGCATTTGCGACATCAGTCATACTGTTGTGTACGCCCTGTCGTGACCTACATATGGGGCAACTTTGAAGATTCTAGAGAACTTCTGGAACTTTTCAGAATTTTACGAAAATAGTGTAACAGAAATTATCTGCCAACCTATTACTTTCAGTAGAAGGATCTAAAATCAAAATTTTTTGGAGTGACCAATTTTGCATTGAGTTTTCATAAAGTAGTAGGGAAGGCACGCGTCATACTCAATCCGCTTGATTCGCCGTCGTTGGTCAATGCAGTGAGCTAACCAATAATGGATTGGATGAAGTGTTTATTTCGTCATTGGTCGATTCAGTGAACTGACCAGTAGTGAAGTGGATTAAGTGGCAAGCGGATCAAGTGAACAAACGCTTCACTTTGGTTGGTTCACTGAGCTGATCAATGACGAAGCGGATCAAGCGGATTTAGTGGATTAAACGGATCAAGTATGGCGTTTTCCAAAGAACAGCAGCTCGCGGAGGTAAAGCACCACGAAAGTCGAAATTCTCACCGGACGTGCCTCTAGAAAGGACTATTCTTCACCACAACAGTGTACCTTTTTAACCGTCTAATTGCAGAGCAACCCGGTCCATCAGGCTGTTCTTATTGGGATATTCGATTGTCTTGTGACATTGACAATGATGGTAATTCTGCTTTCATGATTTTGGAAGAATGAAGGAATATCCAATGCTCCATTTATTTAGAGTAGACTCGCAGTCATGTATCTAATCTAGTTAGCATTTCTCATGCCTACTGTACACATTCGTTTCAAATAAGGTCATTGAGAACTGCGCAAGCTTGACGTTGCTTGTTTTCCAATATGTTTAATCACCCTGTTTTACAAATTCGTCGAACACCTTTGGATTTCATGTATCAAGATTCAGAATTTTGAAGCACCATTTAGGCAACTGTTTAGGTCTATTATTTTTTTTTGAGATCAGTTTAGAAAGCTTTGTTACCTAATGGCATCCAGAGGTGCACTGATTAAATTTGAGTCATTTAACTTTACAGTCTCAGTTGAGTATGTGCAATACATACCTCTTTTACTGATCGAAGTGAACCTTCACATCATTTCCTTGAATTTTGCTGTGTCAGAACCACTGTTCTTGATATGTATGCATCTCTTGATCTGATGATTATACCGGTCAAAAAAATTCCGTGTATCCAAAAATGTGAGAGCTTGAAGGATTTTTTCTGCGGCGCCTATCATGTGAATGTAAATGAAGTAACTGAGCTGAAACTTTGCACATATATGATTTTGAACCCGTATATTACCTAGATAGGCTATTCGGTGATCCTTTCTATTGATTTATTGATTTTTGGCACCTAACGTAAATGATTAATAACCGCTATGAAACCAATTGCACTTTTTGGTATAAGCAGGCTATACTTTTCGAGGAGTATAGCACCCCCTGCCGCCAGTAGAAGCGACTGGCGTTCTCTAGTCGTTACTACTGGCAATCGCCATCGCTAATGGTGGCTACTGCATCGATCGCTGGCATGCTTTTGATTGTCCAATCAATACGTATCCAAAGTGTAGTCGCCGAAACTAGGATCGCTCGTCGTCGATATTAGCGATCGCAATCGCTACTATAAGCGAATCATCGCACGCACGGACTGGACACCCTTGCGGCGGGCTGAGATAGCGCGTGCATGGGAGGGGCACCAGACAGCAAAAGGAATGAACAAGCGCTACATCAGCGAGACGCCGATAGCGTCTGTAGTTACGCTCTGTCTTTGCGTGCGATGAATCGCCTATACTGACGATCGCCAGTAGCCAATATTGGCGAGTGTGCCTTCCACACGTATCGATCGCTACCAAGTTATCACATGTCCAATTGGTAGCCAACGTGGAGTCGCCAAATTGGCGTTGGATACCAGTAGCGATTAGTGATCGCTAGTTTTGGCGACCACATGAGTACCGTATAAGTCAAGTACACTGTATCAAAACTTTCCATTAGTTTTGAAGGGTGTATGCCAAGAAAAACGATTACTGCAGTAATCGTACTGTGCTCCTGCGCTTGTCAAAATTCCGTTCATATAGTCGTCCTTTGGAGCAGTATTTTATTGCTGGACTGAAAATGGTATTTGAGAGTAAGAATCATTTCATTGCATTGCATTTATTACATGGGGGAGATCATGTCAGACATAACGAACAAATGAACCATAAAACACAAAAGAATGCATGTACGAAAGTGCAAAAATAACATACCTAGAACACGTGTGTTAATAACAACTTCCACTGTCGGACTGTAGACAATCTTTTGAATTGCGTTCAAACAAAGATAGCTTAGCAGGAAAAGTCGAATTCTTATGAGCCTATCCATATCATGAACACGCGACATGGAAAAAAAGCTTCGGCTGACCCTAAATCTGGCCTTATTATTAGTTTTCTGGAACCACCTTTAATATTGGATCGTCTGGTAGGAAAGAACTCAAACTCCAGGCCACAATTTCCAGGTCATTGATCCACTCCGCTTCCTGCAGTGCTGAATTATCCAGGAAATAGACGGAGTTTGGACTACAATGTGATGGTCCAATGTGAATGAGTTTGGTTTTCTTTCTGGAAATTGGCAAACCCCAATCTTGTGACCATTTATAAACCGCTTGCTGCAAACGCCTGTTATAAATGTCCTCTATTACTGTCGTGTACAATTTAAAATCGTCTGCAAAGGCACAGCAACTAACGCCAAAATCAACAGGAATTTGTGGAAGCTCATAGGTGTAGATATTGAACAGAATAGAAGATAGGATACCCCTTTGGGGGTACTCCGCTACAGATATGTCTAGGTCAAAAGAAGGTGTCATTGATACAAAACATATCAGGTTGTCCCATAAGTTCCGTCCGTTTGAAATTTCAATCGCAATAAGTCATGAACTTCTTGGTTTTAGATAGGTTTCAAGGTACCATTTGATAGAGCAAAGCAAGCTCTACAAGATGCGCTTCTCACTTGCGCATCATTTCAAATCCATCTCGAGTTTGAAGCCAAAAACCAAAAAGATCCAACCACCCGAAAAATAAAGAAAAAATCGTAACTCCTTTAGAAAAATCCTAGAAAATTCTAACTTGCTCACAGATACCCTATCTACATCAGACATTTATATATACTGTTGCTGTATTTTTTCCTTGAATAGAAATCGAGAAAACGAAAATTCTCATGTTTTTGCCAAAGTGATGCTGTGCTGTTTTCACACTAGTAGTTGTATACTACAGACCAGTACAAGTACAGACACAAATTTTCAGCGCTCTACAGGCTTTAGTTCTCGAGAAATAATCGTTTTAAGACGGGACACCCGACTGTACGAAACTAAATTCAATGTTTCTCGAGAACTAAAGCCTATAGAGCGCTGAAAATTTTTGTCTGTACTTGTACTGGTCTGTAGTATACAACTACTAGTGTGAGAACGGCACAGCATCACTTTGGCAAGAACATGAAAATTTTCGTTTTCTCGATTTCTATTTAAGGAAAAAATACAGCAACAGTATATATAAATGTCTGATGTAGATAGGGTATATGTGAGCAAGTTAGAATTTTCTAGGATTTTTCTAAACGGAGTTACGATTTTTTCTTTATTTTTCGGGCGGTTGGATCTTTTTGGTTTTTGGCTTCAAACTCGAGATGGATTTGAAATGATGCGCAAGTGAGAAGCGCATCTTGTAGAGCTTGCTTTGCTCTATCAAATGGTACCTTGAAACCTATCTAAAACCAAGAAGTTCACGACTTATTGCGATTGAAAGTTTAAGCGGACGGAACTTATGGGACAACCTGATAAAAGGAGTTATCGTCAAGAAAAACTTTGATCCAGGCAACATTACGAGGATGCAGTCCAACACTTGTCAACTTTTGGATTAATTTAGAGCGGTATACCTTATCAAAGGCTTTGGTGAAGTCCAAGTAAACTACATCGTACTGAGGCCCCTATCGAAATTTAGGGTCCACTCATTGTGTGATTGCAGGCAGCATCGCAGTTGTAGTGGACTTACCACGCTGAAATCCATAATGGGTGAGGGAAAGGATCCCGTGATTGTCCAATGTTTAACAATCTGTTTCTTTAGTTTTTTCAAACAACCTGGCAAAAATGGAGGTGATGCTCACAGGGCGAAAATTATTGTTATGACCGTACGGCTTCTTCTTAGGAATGGGTGTCACATATGAAGCGCCATCGTTTCGGAACTTCCGACCTAGTCATGCTCAAATTGAAAAGAAATTGTAGTGGATCAGCGACTATGTGGGCTGTAGATTTGATGAATTGGAGTGGTAAGATCAGGAGTGAGAGATGAAGACCTGGACCAAGTGGTCAATAGTTCATAGATATCCCCACTTTAAAACAGGGTCCCTCTTCCATTAATGCGAACGCCCGGTTACTCCCAACAACCTCTCAGATAATCGCCGGGGACAGGCGCCTATGCGATTCATGGGCAAATAGTTCGCTGATTTCTTGCGGTCCGCTTGCAGAAAAATGGAAGAATGTTGGCCAATTTAGATGAATCCTCGGTGAAGTATCGCGATTTTCTGTAGATTAGTTGCAGCGCAGTGGCCGCATTCTCGCGGGTTTTCCGCAAATATGCAAAATTATTGAGGGCCGCACGGTCCTTTGTGAAGGAACGCACAGCCCATAGGTACCTTCCGCTAGTAGAAAGTACCCCAAACTCGGGTAATTAAACCATCGATGGCACCTTTGTTGTCTAGAGTCTTACCTTTACTCGGCGTAAGCCCGAAACTGCCTAGAGTCCGATCGCCTGCTGAAAGTTTGGCCCACGCTCGCTGGGAGAGATTATTTGACGAGCTCTTGCAGAAAGTTTTGTATTGTTGCCCGCTGGCAGAACACGGAAGTACCGCTCGTTGAAGGTTTGGCCACGCCTTAAAATTTTGCTGACCGCTTGCAGAAAAGCGCGAGTTTGCGGACCGCCTGCCTCTGGCGATTATCTGAGCTCTTCGGATGTCTGGGCTTGGAACGCTTTTTCAAACACGCTAGCGAAACATTCGGCTTTATTAAAGTCATTAATCAATGCTGATCTAGCCTCAGACACGAGGGCACCAATTTTACTCCTTTTCTTAAGATGAGAACTTACAAATTTGTAGAAGAGAAGTTTATTGCCAGAGGAAACAACTTTCTTCTTAACAGCTGCTTAGTCCTTTTTCAAATAGTTTAGATGGGTATTAATACGTCTAAATTGTTTCCAGTATAGGTCTCTACCGGAACTAATAGTTTTTATCCATACACTATCTCTTCTACACTGCAGCCTCTGGAGGTGGTCCGGTAGTACTATAGCGCGCTGTGGAAGAGACCCATGGGACGAATAAATCAACCGCATGATGCAAGATGCATAAAAATATCTCGTACATACCATCAACCGACTCAACCGAGTTGAAGGAGCCGTACCAGTCAATACCACTGAGGTAATCGATAAGTCCCTCCTTATCCGCATGTTTGAAAATCCCTAGTGTAATATATCCCGGACAGTGGCGTACCCAGGATTTCGGCTCGGGGGGGGGGGGGGGGGACAATAGAGATTTTCCGATGGAGGTACGTGGTGTCAGCCACGCACTCCGAAAATTTTTTTGGTAAGCTGAAAATTTTTCCTTAAAATTTTCGCGGGCTCAGAAATTTCAAAAAAAGGGGGCGTGACGTCAGCCACGCCCTCGAAATGATTTTTTTATAAGGCTAAAATGAATTTTTGAAAATTATATTAATTATTTACAAGTGCAGACAAGTCATTTGCACAATTTTATAACCCATGTAAGTAACTTTTTTACCTTTTTTTAAAATTCACTCTTCATGACTACGTCGATAACCCGGAATCAGTGGCGTACCGAGGGGGGGAAGAGCGGGCGCCCACCCCCCCCCGCTCTTCTCCCCTCGGTACGCCACTGATTCCGGGTTATCGACCTAGTCGTGAAGAGTGAATTTGACTGTA